CCTGCTCCTGCTTGTCTCACCTTCCCTCTCACACTCTGGTGGACAAGAGAAACAAGTATTCCCCCGATTTGATTTGATTCTTAGCACCTGAAAACTCAATGGCAATAGTATGTCCCAACTGATGCTTCAGGGTAGTAATCTGTCTAGACTCCTAAATCCCTACAAGATATTTCTTAGGGAGTTGGGTGCAGTATGCACCTCCTGCAAGGATTTCAGGAAGGAAACAAGCCCTGTGCTGTAAGCAGTTCTGTTGCTCTTTGTTTAAAGTCTTTAACTGGTTTGCTCAGTTTTGGCTTTACTTAAAGTCTGTCCCACTGGAATGTGTTTGTCATCCAAGTCCTTGTCACTGTGCTTCCCATCCATGGGAGGAGTTTGGAGTCTTACTGAGAGCCAGAAAGATGAGGTGACTGAGGCTCAGGAACAGGGGTTCCCTGTTTGGGAATGAAGGATGAAAAGAAACAAATCCCCAGCACTCCCAAACCCATGGAGTTGGCTAAAGAACAACACAATAATTCCCTGCTTTGGAGGGTATGAGATCTGGACCTGCTCTGGAGGACAGTGATGCTGTGGGCAGAAGCTGCTTCTCTGTGGATGACATCACATCAGGAGTTGCATCACAAAGATGCAGCTCTCAAAATCACAACCTGCCAACAGTTGTCCCTGTCTGTACTTACAGCCCTGGCACATCAGCCTGTGCTAATTGTCTCCAACTGGAGATGCTCACTGATGACCCTGAGCTGTGGTGGGCAGTCTGGCACCCACGGATTGGTGTTGATAACAAGAATCAAATAGTCAAAGCAAAGAGTAGGATAGGGGATAGTCAGGTAGAGAGCACCTGAATAAACAAGAAGAGAAAGGTTGATTAATAAGGAATTGTCTTAGTTTATTAAGCATGAAAAGGGTAGAACTTAGGGCATTATTTTAGCTTAGGTAGCGTAAAACAAGGAAGAAAAACTAGATGCAGCTGGACTCAGGACCTAGCAATATGTGCCAAACTCAAAGGTCAAGCTGATGAAGACCATCGGCCTTC